AGCCTTTTTGGTGGGAAGCCAAGTGATCTATTTTGTTAAAATAAAACTGGACTCTGAAGTCAGTGTACTTTTTAATATTTGGTATGAAAAATTCAATTTTCAATCATCCTCACAAAATCCATTTTTGACAAAGAAAAGCATCCCTGCCTGAGCAGACCTGTGTCTGTGCTAGCAGGTGCAGCACAACTTGGACCTTTTGGTGAAAGGCTGTATTTTATCTCTGACATCATCCTGCTGAATACCATGACCAGAGTTCTAAAAAGCAAGCTATGCTTCAAAGTTATTTTCAAACACAGCTACATGAATGGATTTTCAAAGAATGTATAAATAGCTGTGTCTAAAACTTTACACATCAAACCTCAGACATCTAAGTATTACAAGTTGCTTTTGAACATCTTAGTCTGTAAAGATACAGTAAAATGCAAGTATCACTTTATCAAAGTATTTCAAAATTTTTAATAAATTAATATTCATAAACAAAATCTACTGTCTCCATCAAAAATAAAAATAAAAAATCCAGGTTACTGTTGTGCTTTTAAACACCTTGCATACTTAACCAAAGTTCTGAACACCAATGGCTTTACAGAACATTTATAGGAACCAATACTCCACCATCAGGACAGAAGCAGAATGAGAGTGAGGGGAACTCCTGAAAAGTATAAACTGCCAAAGGCCATGGGCAAGGCACTAGTGTGATCCCTGAATTTAAAGTTATATTTTCAAGACTGTATCAGCATGTGATGGGTTACTTCTCATATTGAACATTTCACAAAGATCGTAAGCCAGATAAAACCACTTTAATGTTTCTGAAAACATTTTAAGTCTGAGAGATAAAATTGTTGTGTTATAGATAATAAAAAGATACTTTAAAAAAAATCTATGCAACATAGTGTGTTGTATTTTCTCAATACTGTTTCAACCATTTCTGGCAAATGCTACTAAAGAAAACTTCTGTCAATTAAATCAGCATGATACCAGAATAACATCAACAAATGCAATAAACTAACAGTGCTCTACAACGTGAGAATGAGGCCCTGAGAATGAACAAAAAATTGATCTTCAAAGGAAAAGGATTTTTTCTGGGGGAAGGGTGGGGTGGGTCATGGCTGAATGGTTACAGAAGCACAGAAATGATGGAAACAAAGGCCTTCCTGCAAAACTTACTGCAGAACTGCAACCCTGCAGCATCCTTTGATGGCCATCAGTCTGTGCATTTCTAACTCTGGAGATCTCCCTCCCATCATCTTTCACAAAGTTCCTATTGACTTTCCCTGTGGTGACTGCAGCCAGCACTCTCAGAGCAGACTGGATGTAGCAGCTCCCTAAAGCTCCCTGGGCTGAGCTCAGCGCTCCCACGACCTGCTCGACATCTCCTCAATGGGTCAGCACAGCTTCCCAGGGAGCTCCTGAAACTACTGAAGGCATTTTCCACTGAGGCTTCCCATGGAGAGGCAACAGAAAAGCACAGGTTAAAACACCTACAAATCAAACAAACTTTTATCTCCAAAAGCTAACTCAATCTAATTTAATTGGATATTACATGTAACATTCCGCCCATGAAAATAATACCTAAAGAACTCCTTATTTTTACGTAAATCTGCAACTGTAAACCATGTCAGATTTCAAGTAAACTGTGCAATTTCCACTACAGGCTGCAAGTCACTTTCCTGAAATACTATCCTGGTTTAACAGCATTTTCATTTATCTGCTTAATGGTTTGAAATGGACTAAAATAAGTATGCAAGTTGATTGTGGTCTGAATTTGCTGTTTCATTTTGTTTTCAATTATAACACCATCAGGAGATCTGGTGTGTTTATCTGCTGAAATGTGCCTTTCATCAATAAAACATTCTTCCATCAGTAAGACACCTGTAACAATTTAAGTCTCTTCAATATCCTAAATCCCGATTAGGCCAAATATGTTAACACACAGTGACACTCCAAGCACAAGCACTGGCACTGAAGTTAGCTACCTTTGTTAAAATGACCTGCTGAACTGCAAGGCCAGCAATGAATATCATTTATGATAAATGGAAACAATCTTCTCAAATGCAGTTTTGCCCTGTTCTTCCACCAGACCTGTTTTGACTAAAGACAAGTGCAGAATTAAAGTAGTCTCTCTTTCTTCTCCACTTCCTGGCTTTGGTTTTGGTTTGGGTTTTTTCTGACCTTATTCTAAGCAGCATAAACTTACTGTAAGTAGCAGCACTGTATGCATGGTTGTACAGAGAGAATCTCATTAAAAAGGTTGTCTCATGTGGGCATTACTCTGAAAGCTCAACTTTTACAAGTTTATATTAATGACTGCATTCCTTTACCAAGCACTAGAGGCTTTTTATTTCAGTTAAAAGCACAAAGAGCATTTTAGTAGTGTTCAGGAGAATAAATTTACAGTGAAAGTTGGACAGTACTAGTAGCTATGTCAGCTAACAAATATAATTAAAATGTACTTTATACATTATACCAATGTAGGATACCTGTCCACCACTGTGAAATTTTAATGTATATTTATGCTATAAATACACAATACTGATGCTATTATGTATGTCTAGAGTATGTATGTATCCATTTGGATACAGCATCATATCACCACAAATACTATTCACTGATTTTACTGCTGTCACTTTTTAGTTTCTTATAACTTCTTTCTTTTTTCTTAGAGAAAAAAACCCAACCAATCTTGTTCATATAAACAAGGCCCCTGTACAACTTGTCCCAGTTGTGCCAGGTCCCTCAGAAAGGGTACAAGAGGTTCTCTGCATAGCTAATTCAGCACGATGCTGGCGCAGTGATGCTCAGCTGCTTACAGACTCAACCAGGGCCTGGTGCCACACTCCCTGTCACCACAGCCTATTCATGGTCCTTTTATTTGGCTTCTCTGCATCCAAGACATTTGCAGTTCTGTTGGGTCTCTTCTGCTGCCTTGTGCAGACCCCAACTCTGTACTACTGGCAAGTAGCAAACAGATACAAGCACATAAACCCAGCTTTTTGCCTTTCCACAGCACAATATTCCATTGCAGTGTAACACACAGTAGCCAAATGAACACTCCGTGGTTATTACCCACCTAATGCTGTAAAAATATTGCTATGACATTTCGTCTCTCGAACATTTTAAAGGTTAATTCTGTTTCCTATTTGAGATTTTCCTCTAGGTGAGCCATTCCATGCACTTTCTATTTACTGATTCCAAACAACCCCCAAACTGTTCCATTGCTCACTCTCACTGTTAAGAACATATTGACTGGCTGCCTGCTCTGCTGTTTAATTCATTTATGCAGAGAGTCAGGCATGAAGACAGAATTTTAAATGTGACATTTGCAGGCTGTTGGGTCATTTGAAGCTCTGACAACACCAGGGAGTTCCTGACATACAAACTGGTCCTGATTTCCAATCTTCCATGTTCTGAACACATCAGAAATTCTTCCCAAAGGTGCAGATTTCAGCCAAAAGTTTTAAAATCCCTTGTGTTTACAACGTGCAAGAAAGGCTTGTACACTTTAAGGTTTTAAAACAAAGCTTGTGTTTCCTTTAAGGTAAAACCAGCACTGCCTGCAGCATGAGACTCAATGCTTTAAAACACTTATTGACAAAGGTATTTGGGAAGATCTAGGATAATAATTATTACACATGAGGTTGTTTACAAAATTCTATTAAGGGACTTAGTGGACTTTTATTTGTTCCTGGGGATCTTCAAGTGTTTAAAAACAGCTGAAACCACAGCTTTATCTAACATTGCCTATCTGGTTTTGTGCTACTCTGAGCAGTACCAAATCCCAGTTTTCAGACTGGAAGTTTTCCTTATCTCAGGGCAGTGAATGGACTGCACCATTCTGTCCCCCAGCATGAACTGCCATTATCTTCCCCAAATTTCAGATCAATTTTTCAGAGCATACTTGATTACCTGAAAGATTCCATATGGCCAAGATACCATCAGGAAAACAGTCATGTGACCTGTTTGGTCCTGACTTCAGAAAACTATAGTTACTTGTCCCTGAAGCAGGACTTACATCTACAAAGTTTAACAATTATTTATTATATTTTGAGAAAATTCCAAATTACTGCAACATCATAGGTCATTTTGCTTCCTTTAAGGCATCCCCATGAAAGGGGATGCTGTCTCTCCAGTCATGTTTGACACAAGTTTCACGTGTTATTTGGCCATAAGCTTTTCCACACAACAGGCAGAGCCCTCTGTGGCTGACAGCAAAAAATGAGGAGACACCTGAAAGCAGACTGAGTACCTGATCTACCAGCAGGATAGATGGAAAACCAAGCCTTGAACTCTGAGAAAAGAGCAAGAAGGGAATATAGAATCTTATGCACAGACAAGATCTCTTTCTCCTCCTTGCCATGAACTGGGGAACACGTTACAATAAAACTTCAATTCCAGCTCGTATGTCCACATCATCCCGCATTTGTTTACTTAAATCAGTAGCACGGTATTGCATTTAAATAAAGACAGTTAGAAGGCACAATCTAGGAAAAATATGAACCTTTTTTTTAATTGTGCAAAACAAAAAATAAAAAAAACTCTGTTCAAAGCAGAAAGTATGATGACGCTGCTATAGTTTGAAATAAAAATTATGCTAATTCAGAATTGTATTAAGAGGAGAGATTGTTTTCCCTGCTTGACTCATCATGACAATTATTCCACAATAATGACTCCATACTTTGGCTGCTTTTTCAGGAAGGTGAATATGATTTAGGTCAAGATGCAAATTCAGGTAAATTAATGGATTTTTTTCTTTTCTATCAGCAGACACACAACAATTTTAACAAGTAGCTCTGAAGTGTTAACCATGTCATACAGCAAGCATCTTTTCATTGCCATGTTCAGAATGAGACTTTTATAATTTAATAGTTGTCATTTGAACAAGAGTATCTTGCTTATACATACTTCCAGCATGAGGACATTAATTCTGTGTGACCTAGAAAAGCAGTTTAAGTATTACAGATGTTCTTTATTTTCAAAGGAATTTTTAAAATAGAAAGACTTACCTGGTGTATTATCTGAGCTACAGGAAGTTGTTCAGCATATTTTAGTGGCTCTGTTGCCAACTCCTCCTCTGGAAACCTGGGAAGAAAATAAGTTCACGTTTGTCAAAGTTAGTACAATGTTTACCAAACTAAATTAATGAAATTAAGTGTTTCAGGATACTGTTTTGCTTAAGATGAAGAAAAAGTGTATTTTATGACAGTAACAGAATGTATTTCTCATAAAGTTGAGTGAAAGAAATAATTCATAGCAAATAGAAATGTACGTAACATTGTGCATTTTTCCCTGACATAAAGCACAAATTTAGCAGCAGAAACCTAAGAAAACCTTTAAATTTTCTTTTAGGTGAGCAAGGACTGGTGAAAGCTGGATTGAAATCCCCATGGAAAAAAAGTCTTATGCATTTACAGAGCAGATTCAGCACTGTTAACAATACAAGCTTCTTCACTCAATCCTGCCAACATAATTCAAATATGACCATCTCAAAAGGCAGGAGGAATTATTCACCACTTCCCATTTTTGCTGCAAGAGCACAGCAGCGTTTAGATGTGGTAGAAGTTCACCACCACAAATATTCATGCATTTGCCAGCACAGCAGTGTGTACTCCTGGTTACCAAAAAGCCAAAAAAGCCAAAAAGCTAGTGTGAAGATTAAAAAAAAAAAAAAAAAAGAAAAAAATGAAGTGAATACTTCACAAAGAATATACATCATAACCCTTTAAACTTTGAATAAACTGTAGTTGCAGCTGAAAAACCAGAATTCATAAACAATCTCTTAAAAGAATATTTAAATGATAGTAAACTAATATGAAAGCACGTTTTAAACCCTTCAACCATGCTGCTTTCATCTACTGGAACTGCACGGCATGTGCTACATTTTCAAAGTATCACTCAAGTTTTTCATCAGCCATTCCTCTATTTTTCTGAGGAATTCTGAATATAGGAATTTGAGCACTATGACAAGAAATGAAAGGGGGAAAAAGTCCTGACAAAAACAAGGCCTTTCTCTAAAGCCGATGCAGAATTATTTTCAGACAAAAACTGTAGCCAAGACATTATTCTCAAGGCTCAAACCTTATACCTGTTCTAGTCAAAAGGGATCCACACCTCCTGGGTTAATTCACCTGCAGACCAGCTGCCAGAAACTGCAGGCTTAGTGCCTGCACTGGTAGTCAACAGGCTGTGGAAAAAGAGAGGACAAAGTGCACATCTCTTCCCTTTTCCACTACTGAATTTCTGGTGTGGTTTGAAAGACTTTAAGCTCAAATGAGAGTCTGAATATCCAGAAACTTGTAATGAACAGAGAATGAAAATATGACAGTTTTACTATGTAAGAAATTTAAAAACAGAGAACAAAAGAAACACAGCAATATTTCAAAGATGATAGTGACAGCCTGCCTAGAACCATTTAATGTGCTTAAGAAAAATTAAATAAGCAGGCTCTGAACTACTGAAGCTGCTCTACAGATGGAGCTCATTTACTGATACGGTTTTTAGAGTTTTTGGATTATTGTGACAATGATGAATTCATACTTTTAACATGGAATATACTGCTGTTGTAGTCCAGCACAACCATCAGAGCTTAGAGAGGGTTCAGCAACTCCACCACAGAGTGCAGAAGGAATCTTGCCACTCAATTCCTCCCTGCTTTCTATCAGTGGTCCTGATTGGCAAACACACCACAGCCAGTGTGAACTGGAGATAACTTCTGTTCTGCTGAGTGCCTGTTAGCTGACACAACACCTTGATTTATGGATACCAGCTACATAAACCCATTTGTTAGCCATAGTTCTAGATACGAAACAACTGTACACACAATACAATAGTCATCAATATCTTGAATGCTTATCTCTACAGTTTTTACAGGGACACTGCAAATCTGGGGAAATAAAAGAGTACAAGTCCCAAAATTAAACACTTGAAGCTGAAAGTAACAGCCAAAATTACTATAAACTGAATGTTAGCAGAAATGAAAATTAAGAAAAGAGCTTGTCTGTCTGTTCTGCCAAGGACCTTGTACATTTGGCAATTTTTCTGTCTAGACAGAATCAGAATTCCTTGCAATTCTTGCATTGTCAAACACACTCCTTGTCAACTGCAGGAAAAAAAGATTTTCCTTCAAATGGCAAAGGATTAAAAAAGATAAATAAAAATTATCAAAATAATTTTAAGCCTTAGGAAGCTTAATGAAAAAAAAGAGAATGGGGAGAGTAGTAAAAACATGCATTTTAAAGTAATTAGATTTAAATTGAAATTACATTGATAGGACCCTTTCAATATCAAGAAAGACTTTTTTTTTCTAATTTACTTTCTGAAAAAAAACAAAAGTAATTTGAACTACACAACATTGTATATATAAATAAATTTTAAGATATATATTAGGTAGGTGGACATTCTAACGTATTTAAATAAACATCTACATTTATACTCTCACACTATAAAATGTTTTCATACACAGGTATTTTCAAAGAGAAGTTCAGAACTGTTTCCTCAAAATTTTTGCATGAACTTTTTGTATATATATTTAGTGATGTATCAACTGTCAAGTTTACAAAAGAGTTTTGATTCTTCTCTCCTGCAGATAAGCAGAAAATCCCTTGCAAGTGGGCACAAAGGGCGTATTTTAACCAGTCATTTATGTAAGAACAGAGACAGCTCATGGCCAGTAAGATCCAAGCCTGTGATACAACTCACAAATGGCTGAATTCTCTCCCCCAAAGCAGGGGCTGCATCCCAAACCGGCAGCTCCAGCAGGTGCTAAGCCTTGAACCACTCACAGCCACACTGACAGTGACACATGGGGTGACTGCAGGACAGAACATCAGCCTGACTCACAAGCACAGCTGCAGCCTCATCCTGTCTTCGAGGAAGTTCTCTTGGTCAGTTTGCTACGGATCAAAGAAAGCCCAGCACAGCAGTTTGTACTCAGGAGAAAGAAACCTGCTGCAAAACTGCTCCTTCATTTTAGCCCTAGGAATAGCAGCCAAGCAGCACTGCTAGACTGGAAGAATGACCTGTAAAAGGCAGTCCTCTTCAAAAAACCGTAAGGGATAGAAAGGCCTAAGGAGGAGAAACAGGTCAACACACAGAAGATGTTCTACTTCCTCCTCTTTTGCAGGGTGGAAGAACAGAACATGTCAGGATAAAGATCATCTCCAATACAATTCTTCTGACCTTGTCTCTCCCTTTCACAGAGGGACACAAGCAAATTGGTTACTCCTTCCAGAGATAATTTCCAGATGCCTGAGAAGGCATTGCCTTTTGCTCAAAACTAGTTATGTCAGGAAAAAAAAAATCCAAATACAAAAACCATCTCAGCTGATGGAATTTGTGCTCAAATCACATATGGCAATTTGAGGCTGTAATTCCACTAAATTAGTTGGCCTCACTATGTTATGTTCATTCATATTTGACACTTAGACCTTTATAAAATTATAGGCCAATTTGTTGTTATACAGTTTTCTTTGTATGTTTAATTTCTTTCAAAACAATTCCATTACAGAAACAAAGGTAGTTTTTCATGAATTAATTTTCCAGTAAGGAACAGTCCTTTCTGTCTCAATTGAGCATGACAGCAGAGTGCTGCCAACAGTGGCAAAGCAAGCTAACACAGTGGCATATCAGCATCATGCCTGACAGCTGGTAATGCAAAGCATAAGGGGATCTTGATTTTCAGGGAGAAGACTAGAAATAAATGTAAAATCAGAAGAGAAGTGGGAAGCAGTAAGAGATAGTAGAAGAGGAGGATCTCAAAAAATTCAATTTAAAAGTTATTTTTATACTGCCACTGCGACTGCTCTTAGATGAAGGAAAGTGAGCATGAAACAAACTGTAGAAAGTGAATCTAAATCCAGTAAAATGTGTCAAGGTATTTGGTGAAATATCTTATTTGTTATTTATATTTGCACGCTCACTCTTAAAGGAGAAAGTCAATATGTGCTAAAGAAAAATAAATTCCGAGATGAGGAGGTGGCACATTCTCCCACGAGTGCTAACCCAGCCCATGGTCTTCTACACAGAATAGCTGCAGTGGCTTCAGGGCAGAGATGTATTTCATCTCATGCAAGTATTATAAAAATACAGGGGGAGAAAAAGTACAACATGTGATCACTAACTGGTTTGCTCGTGGCAAAAATGGGCTGTTAAGACATTTGAGAGACAAAAAAGTCTAGGTAACATAAAAACTGTCTCTCTGGGTTAATATAAATATTCACTAATTATAACAGGCAGCAGGACTAAGGCTAGTATTTCTTCCTTCTTGTATGTTCTCTAGACTTGATGGCTAGGACAGGTCACAGAATTTCACACCTACAACCCATGTACAGGTAATACTGCACCCCTTTTGAAACTCTTGTTCCTTGATGGCAAGTCCTAATAAGGAACCAACTCTCTTGGAAGCTGTACAAACTGGAAGTCAGACTGTGAACAGGGTACAAAAGGCTATCAGAGACAAAAATGCATGAGAAGAAGGGGTTTGGGGGTCACCAACTTTCTTTTCTGTAGGCACAAACAATTTGTACTGCTCAAGTGCTGCCTGACTTGTTTGAGAAATGACTTCTGAATAATGTGAATGAAAATGCTGGAATGGGCTGTCCCACTTGTGGAAGTGGCTCCGAGCAGAAACGTTGCAACTGCTCGGACAGTCAGCACGAGCCCAAGGGATGCAAATAACACAGCAGTGCCTAAAGCTTAGATACCCCAGACTGGAAGGCTGAAATTATTAATCTAAACCTGTGTATGGCACTGATAGCTTTATTGACTGTAAATACATGAACACACTTGCATCTGGCAATAAAAAGAAAACAAAATACCAGAGCTTTATGCACCACATCAGAAAAAGTTATTAGCTTTCCTATTAAAGAGAGGCTGAAATGGGCTATGTCGGGTTTGAGTGAATAGTTTTTAGAATTGGCCATTGAGAAATTTATCTACCATATCCATAGTACAGAAGATTAAGAATTAGACCTTGGATTGATGCCAGGTACTTGATCTATCTGTTAAATTCTAACTTCATACACATTTAAGAATTGGGTATGTTTAAACAACAGAAGCACTAAGGTACATGGAAAAACACCAAT